CTTAATACAGGGCATATGGTCACCTGGAGCAGCTCTAACCCTCCACAAGTCCAAAAGTCTTGTAAATGCATCAGCTGTACTGCAGAGCAACATCATGGAAAGTTGTAAGGCAAAAGCCACTCATCCTCTTTCCATTTATGTAGAATGCTATATGGGCATCATACCCACTTTATCCTGAAATCCAAAAATAATGCAGTTTTACCACCATATATCAAACAAATTCCAAGATGATTTACTCATGTCAAGCTTGATCTGTACTGCAACTTGGGAGGAGGGGGAGTACAAATTTCCTCGTTCCACTTTTTTCATCTAGGTTCCACCATTATTTCTCAAGTGACAAAGTTAGCCAAAAATCCTGCAACAAATATCTTTGTCCTCATTCTGCAACTGTTATTGCCTTGTTTTCTTTTATTTAAAAAGATGTGATAGCCTATTTCAATATCAAACTGAAGTTGTAAGACAGTTATAACTCCAAATTTAGTCTCTCTGTTATACGAAGCTCTTAATGAGAAAAAAAGAGCTGCACCAATGTATGCTTATTATAGTTTTCATGGTGCCTTACATAATAATAACCAGTTAATCACAATCTTAAAAAACTCTTAGTAACTGTGTTACTCATAAATAGCAAGTCTAGTTTATTTTCTTGACTTTTCACACCATATATTCCTGGGAAATTGGACTTTCTAATGTATTTCCTTTTACTACCATTACTACTATTTCTTAAGGTACCTTTAAAATTAGAATGAATATAGACAATGAAGACTCAGTCTTTCCTCAGATAAAACAGCTGTTAGCTTTCCTGAGGTTGTATTGCAGTATGTTGGCCTACAAATAGCTTTTTTGGAAAGCTATATGTGGTAGATATACCTCACTTACCTCACAGAATATGCTATAAAGTTCAAAAAAGATTAAAGCAATGAGGTTTCTACAGAAGTTAAATGGACTCCAGAGAAATAACTTTAAACACTAATAGCCTTTTCATGGAGTTCTACAGGACTCTATAAGTACTTTTAAAAAGCATCTCACTTGCTATTACACATTTCCCATTCAAAGCAGGAGTATACGGATGTGACTGAAAAGGTTTAAAGACCCAGCAAAGAGACAACTAGCCAAATTCAGTTCTAAGCGCTACTAAAGACACATATTTGCATGGGCATGCATGCATGGCTGCATTCATGCACAGCAATGCAGTTAGCCTAGAGTTTGCCCATAATAATGCCACTATTAGATCCAGCCATTTCGATAACGTGGCTTTCAAGAAACTTCATTGTCTTCAGAGCCCACAGCAAATTTCTTCAAGAACAAAACCGCTGGACTAGGACCAAGCACCAGGCCCTCAAGCTCTGAAGAAAACTGTATTTTCAAACTCTCCCTATGGAGCCTTCAAAACATACACAAGTCCATCACTTTAATACTCTCATTCATTTCCTCAACTTACAGGCCGGGTCAAGAAATTAAACTTATGAGGCTTTTGTGCTCTGCACAGCATAACCTTTATCTTGTGCTTTGAGGTTTTTAAATGGAGTAAGAAACTCCAAAGATATTTAATCTCCACAGAAGCCGAGACTTAAGTGCCTGAGGGATGGTTTGCTATCACTGTTTTTTTTTTTCTTTTAAATCCCAATCTCTGTGTACACAACTCACAGCTGGATGATAAGCAATGAAGAGTTTTTGTTAAGCTTTTCCCTCCCTCTCCTACGTGCATGCATGTACACACCCACACCCACCTACACAGATTAAGCGTTTTAAGTGAAATTAGAATGTGTGTGCTGAAACCCAGCAACATTTTCAGTGTATCCAGGCAGCATTCTTGGTATCGATCATTAATTCCTCATAAGCTGACTTTCAACTACTGATAATGGTAAAGATATGCGTTGGATGTTGTTTCATTTGTAACGCTTCTCAGTAAACTCAAATATACAAAGTTCCCAAAGAAAAATATTCAAATTGGCCTCCAGCTGACTTCTAATTGAAAGTATTCAAGGTCTGCAGTTCACATGCACACATAGAGAGAAATTTTTTAAACTCACTGTAAAATTAGGTAGTTTTTGTTTGAAATATCTAGGCAAATAAGAACAGGAGGGCTTTCATGCTATCCTATCAAGTGTGTAAAGAAAGATTATTATCATACTTTAATAGTCACTATATCCTGCATATGTGTTGTCTCTGAAATGTACTCACTACTACATTTTTTCACCTAGTTTCTAAAACACATGACATAAGCATATACTTCTTTCCTTGAGTAGGACACTGTAATCAGCTAGCCTATTTGAAAAAATATATTATTAATAGATTTTAGAAAGATGCATTATTTCATATATTACAATTTTCAGACAACAAATCTTAAAGACATGAGTGAAACTGACACAGAAAAGAATTACATACGTTACCACAAACTTGCTCTAGACTATGCAACCAACTGCTAAGACTGCTGTAACAGCATTTTCTTTGCTCAAAATGCTTTGAATGAAGTGGTCAAAAGAGCAGAACAAATTGAAAAGAAAGGACTTAGATGTTCCTATATGCCAGTTGAACAGCTTTCTAATATGGAAAATTGAGATGCGTTATCCTGCTAAAGACTTTTTAAATTATAGTGAAAAATTAATGCTGTATGCAGGAATACAGAGGCTCAACACAAAATACATACGTCAAACAATCCGTGCATTGCATTTACACGTTGTAGATGTTTACGACTCAGACTCTTTATAAAAACCTGTCAAATAATTTTTTTTTAATTTTTTAAGAAAAGTGTTACATTTTTGTAGACATCGGAGAAACAGAAAATAGCTCTTTTTTTTACAATAATAAAGCAGAAATAAAAACAGCAGCACGATTTTAGAGTAATAAAAGCTATCATAAATACATGATGAGTTACCGGATAGCCATTTCGCCCTGGTAGACCCTGGTGGAATGAGATGAAATGGTATGACACACATTAACAACAGAGTCATGACATATGACATAACAAACATACAGAGTACATTATTGACAAATTAAAATTTGTATATTCATCAGTTCTTGATATGTGTCAATATTACAGATGAACAAATATGAAACAGGTACTATACAGTGAAGAAACGGGGCTTTGGCAATTGAAATTATATATATATATATATCTTGTTTTAACTTGAATAAATACTCTAATTAAAAGGCTATCTCTGATTCTCATTGAAATCCCTTTTGCTACAACGAGAGTTATGCATGTAGATTGAAGGGCAATATGTGGTTAAAAGAGGGGAAAAAAGGTTTGGTGTTTAGGCAGCAAGGTAATAGATAGATAGGCTACCATTAGAACATAGGTGCCAAAGAAGAAATTTGAGAAAGCTGAATGAGAATTTTTTCATTAAAAAATTGAAATCCTCAAGACCCTGGACTGTTCTCACATGTGACACTCAGTAATTATGCACAAAGAAAACAGAGTACTCAGTAGCCTTTGAAAATACAACATACACCCAAGCTCCGCACAGTGCTATGTGGGATATTCAAATATTTGTTACTTTAAACAAAAAGGATTACCACAGTATCCCAGGTGACAATAGCAACTGAGTTTGTAATAGTTGCCCCTAGTCAGACTATAACAAGTCTGCATTACAATAAAAAAGTGAATTAGGTACAGAAATCACATTTTTAAATGCCTTACAGCAACTTAAAGCCTTATTGACCTTCAGCGAGATGAATACTTGTAAGACTGTTTTGAACATAGGACTTGGAATTCCGAGTCAGACACTTCTTAAAACTATTCAGTCTTGGGACCTATTTCAGAGTTATATTAATAATGTGAGGATCTAGACTTTTTTTTAAATGTACATATGCTAAAACAGTAGGGAGTTGAAGTCAAAAAGTAAAGACATCCATAATGAGGCATATAGTGCACTCTTGCTATGTTGTCTTGCTATAGGAAAACCATTTGTATGATGATTGATGGTGGTTGTTCTTTGTGTTTCATGGGAAGACTGCAAAAGAAATTTAGGAAGCCAGTGTTCCTTTCAAATAAACAGCACCATTATGCATTAAGCCTGGTCTTTCATTGATGGCTTGTTAAATGAGTTTGCCACCATGAACTGCTGAGCACTCAGCCAAAAGCTTTCAGGGATAAGTAGTGTCACTGCTTGGTATACACAGTTTACAGCAAAATCATTAAGTCACACAGCAGAAATTCAAAATGTTATTTCACTATTTTCAAATATGCACGTAGTATAGAATTGACAGATAAGCAGGTCTTGAAAATACTGTGGAAATACTGTATCTATTGAAGAAAAAAGCTAAATCTCTTCAAACAGTGCATAATAAACACTGTTTTCATGATCACATTATTGCACCATATGGTGCATATGACATGATAAATACAAATCTTTGAGATACATGCACTTAATCCTGTACTTTAAGTCAGACTTTTGACCTGCCCAGAAAATCTACTGCAAAAAACAAAACAAAAACTCGACCTCCCCCCACCCAAAGATTAGCACAAGATTCAGCCACCTTACTAAGCTGAATACTATTAGCAGTAATTGTTTTACACAAGCACTTACTGGCTTCAGTAATAACTATACCAGAACAAATTGGGCAGCATATACAACTACAATGTATAAGGAGCCCCAATAATTTGCAATAACTGCAGAGTAAGTTACTGCCCAGTAAAAGGCAGAGTGACTGAATCTGGACCTAAAATAGCATACTTACACATTTCTATACTGTAGCAAAATATCTGTTACTAAGTCATAAACAAAATGAACATAACATACTTACGTGGAATTCTGACCCAAACTGCTATCTGGAGTGCTGAATGTAAGGCTTTACAGTTTTAAGGACTGTTTTTTTCTTAAGGAACATTCTAATTAAATTATTCACCTCCAAAATAATTAGTAAAAATTTGTGCCATGCAAGTATACATATAAAAATTCCCCCTTGATGATACACAACCAGTTTATCATGGTGATAACAGGATGTAACACAGATTCTGCCTGATTCTGGAAGACCCAACAATGTATCACTGTACTTACAGGAGGTCCTGTGGGGAGGGAGGGAGAAGGAAGGGACAAAAAGAGAGAGAGAAAAAAAAAAGAATATGTAAGTTTACAAAGTTATTAAAGAAAGATACATATGTAGGGAGCCAAGCACCAGGCTTCAGGATTATAAGTGAGCAACACTTAATGCACTGCACGTATTTTTCGACGCAAGTATTTGTTGCTTTGGCTGTGCTTTGCAACTTATAATACTGCTAATGCTTAAATGCATGCCCTTACCTTAACAAGGAAGCCAATTCTTCAACTACGGTCATGCAATCTTATGCAAGTTGCTTCTCCATCCATTTCCATGCAATATCATGCCAGGCTAAAAATACTAACCACAGGGGCTACAACTCATTTTATCAGGCTTTGTTACAAAGCGCATGTAACAACATCACCAGTTTCAATTAGCCACACAATTTAGGCATTACATCACAGCTTGGCTGCAAAATTGCGAAAAGTACCCTTGGCATTTAACCTTGGCATCTAGTCAACACATACTTGCACCTACATCTTTCAGCCTTTCAACTTTGCTCATAAGGGGAGGTTTCAGAGGCCACCTGACACTGCAGAGCTTTCTTTTTATCGCCCTCCTTTTTCAAGGCATACTTACAAAGTGCTCCCTATTAAAATGTCACAGATTTGCACATTTTTTCAACTATTTAGTCTCAAAGACTTTTGTATAGCAGTTCTTGGAAACATTATCAAAGGGCCACAAATCAAATCTACTATTTCAGTCTTATTAAATTGAGCAGCTGCAGTTCCCAAATCAATGGCTTTTCAGAAACTAGAGAGAGGTATGAAGCTAAAGTGAAGCGCAAAAGGGGTATAAAACAGCAGCAGCTGTACTTTGAGATTGCTTTTAATATTGACAGCCTTTTGTTTTTAACAGTGTAATTTTATTGTCCAGTAACCAAGGTAATTTCTTTATACTGGTAAACATTCTTAAATCACATTTTAAGGTGCAGGTCTGTTTTTAAATTAGAGAGATCAATTTCCTTCGTTAATAGTTTAATATGTGTTTATTTGAGTTTTAAAATGAATCAACAAGCATACTACAAAGTAACTGTCAGGTTCATTTGAAGGAAAACCTTCAACCTTAGAATTTCCTTCTGTACCATAGCATTTTTTTCTGCAGCAGATACTAATCTAACATTGAATGGAAACATCAAGGTGATTTATATTAACCTTTGGCATGGCTTGGCTTTGCTTCAGTTTTTTGGTGATGCAGGAAAAGCAGCAAATAGTTTTTAAGAGCCGAATAAAACAATAATTTACAGAGATAGGAAAGGCTAAGGATCAAGGATCAAGTTGATTAGGGGTTTCTCCTAACTGGCAGATTAAACAAGAGACAGCCAAGGAGATTAGAAATGCTCCTGCATTACTTCTAGAAAGTTCACCTTCAGGATTCTTCAGGAAAGAATCAATCCCACAAAGTAATAAATACTTCCAGTTCCTGTGAATGTCAACAGGAAGAGGTGCTCAGCATCTCACAATGTTGTCTCAAATGAAATGTCAAGCTCCACATCCATAGTCACCTTCTCTCAACAGCAAACTCCCTGGTACAAGATAATGAACCATCGAACGTTTTCCTTCGTTCCAGAAAAACTTAATTTTTACTTTTCTCTCATGGAGTAGTCTATTTATCACATTATTTCTCTGAATGTTAATATTCTTAATGTATTTCTTTCCTTGTAAAATTAAACCAAGGGGGTGTGATACTACACTAACCTATAGTACTTTCACTATTGACTTATATGGAGTTATTCCCATTTTCACAGGCATGAGAAGACACTGAAACGGCTCGACAATATGCTTACAGTGGTTTACAAACATGTGAAGCATTAGGAAGCGCAGCTACCAATTAATGACACCCAAGACTAGAAACTGTCTGAAAGGCTACCAGATATATGCCAAGGATCACAAATTTCTACTAGAAACGTTTCAGAACTCTCTTTCCAGAGCACACAAGCAATAAAGACAAAAAATGAAGGCATGCTGGGTATGTACCCTCACAAGAACACACAGACATCAAACAACAACAAATCTTACAAAATTGAAAACTTACCAGTCTCTCCTCTTCTGCCTCGCTTACCTCGTTTCCCTGGAGGACCTAAAAAGAGGACGAGGGTGGGCTGTAATTTTTTTTTTTCTTTAGATTAGATTTAGAATAACATTTGTATTTAGATATAAGGGCATTAAACAGATGCATTACATGAGTGATGCTCATGATTGACTGGGTATACAATACAGTAAGAATAATCTCCAGAGACTCTAGCTGAGCCAGGGTGAGAAGTTACTGGAATAAGACTCAGAGTTTAAGGTAAGATGGACAGCTACATCACCTACCACAGGCTCTCAGGAAAAAGAGGGCTGGAAGAAACTTTGAGAGGTCATCCAGTTCATCTCCCTTTCTCAAGGCAAAACCAACCACATCTAAATTGTTTCTGCAGTCTCCATAGGCATTTTTTCCAGTGCTTCACTGTTCTGACAATAATATTTTTCTTTATTTCTAAATTGCTGCATTGGAGCTTATTAATTTTTGTGCTATTCACCCCAAACCCCAGAGAAGAAATTATGCCCTTCCTTTTCACAAAAAGTGTGTTCTTCAGAATTGCTACACCACTCCTTCAGTCTCCTCAAATCTAATTCATCTTTGGGCATTAAATTTCATTCAATTATTCCTATATTAAGTCCAACAATTAGTACTTGTTTAGAGCACATCCTCTGGAAAAAGCATCCAGTCTTTATCTGAAAACATCAAGGGATGGTGAAACCATCTCTCGGCTTCCCGTTCCCCTTCAATACTCTATGCAATACTCTAGACATGCAGTATCTAACAACACATAATGTGCTTTGCTTCTGGTTTATAGCTTTGTTTAAGCTCTGTTTGCCTTAACACACCAGGTTGGCTCCTGTTGCAACTGTTGCTAAAGAATCTTTTATTATCCATGGTCTTCTCTCCAGAGATACTGATATTCTATAGTTAAAGCCTTCTAAAGTGTATAAAGAAAAAAATAAAATCATGTTTGTCCCTCATTTCTGCATCCCTCTCCAACTTTCAACATCCTCTATAAACTGCAAGCAGCAGTACTATATTTTTACTCTCTTCTTGATGACCTTCTCAGATTTTTCCTGAAAATGCAGGGAAAGCACACTTGTGTTTCTCCTTGTGCAGCTAGGAAGAGAGGTGACAGCTATAACAGTGAACCAGAGTGCTGGTTCTGAATGCTGCTGCTCTGAAGGGAGACCCACTGACAGGATTCTCAAAGCTGCAGAACAGCATCAAGAACGTTGGGGGGAATTTCCACAGCAGTAAAGCATGCCCAAGTACAAGTACCTCTGCTGGCTAAAACTCACTGCAAAAGAAATTAGGTGCATGGGTGTTTTTGTACAAACACACACTGTAAGCAACTGTCATCTACTTTAAACACCTATATAATTGCGTGAATCATCTGAACCATCATCCCACACCTCTTAAATTTACACACATGCCAAATCATTCCCCCAAATGCATGATGCAAACTAAGTCTGAGATCCTGAATAGAAATTTTGATGATATAATTCCAATATATATGTGAAATAGCATTAGTTCAGCAAAGAAATAAAAGGAAAACTTTTATTTCAAAAATACAGGTGCAGCTCTTACCTTTAAGATCTTAATTCCTACCACAACATTATAAACCTCACTAAACTCCTTCTTTCTCATTCCATTTTAATGACCTGCAGTGGTGGCATAATGCAACAAAAGTTTAAGACAACACCACCATACAAAGCAGGAACAGTACCAGATATTCGTTATGAACAACATACTAACAAAATAAGAATATTTTGCTGTTATTTGCTGCAAAAAAGAAAAAAATGCCACTCCCTTGTAAAGAAGCTTGCAACTTTGTCCTGACACACTTCAGTTTCTGCAACAAATACCTATGGAAACTTCTTACACGTGTAACGATTTGTTACAGCATGTAACAAGTTTTCATATATACTTTTTTTTTTCCAACTAACACTTACACCATTTAGAGTTCCCAAGCATCTATATACCTATGTAGTAGCCCTCAGTGGGGATTTCACTGACTGTCCCCAAACTCACAAAAACAGCCATGCAGCACTTCAGGCTGACCACAAATAAGGATGTGCAGGAGAAAACTAGAAGGTTCTTTACAAGGTAATGACCTTTTTTCCTCCCATTTTCCAACACGTAACAAGAAAATAACTCATCCCGTTTTGCAGAAGATTGTTTTTCTAAACTTTTGGGTGTGTGCATGTATCACTAACACACACATCTACTACAAAGTCTTCTGTTGAGATTCCCATTAGCTAAAAGGCATTTTAGCCACTACTACCAAACTATACTGGTAACCACAACCTGTGAATTTTAGAAAGGAAGGAATTTCATCCAGGAAGCCAGAGCATTAAACTGCCAGTTTAGTAGCTGGGTACAATGATGGCAAAAAAGGGGCTCGAGTCCAGTTCTTTGTTCTGACATCAAGCATTGATCCCTCCTAAGCTGCTATTTTGATGTTATGAGATGGAAATATGTGTGAGTGTTAATGACTAGATAAATGCTTATTATTTTTATATTTCCAAAGTAACCACACCACTCAAATTAAGAGAAGTGGCCTGGATTTACGCCAGCATGAATGGCGTAAATGAAATCAAACCAAGACCCCTGACCTTTAGGGCTTCAGACCAGCAGTACTTAGCAGCTATTGAGTGACATGAAGCACTTCTCCTTCTCTCATTAAAAGCTTTTCTGAAGTCTGTACTACTCCAATCTCTATCTAGGCAGCGGCCTTTATAAACCTTTTAGAAATTGTGAAATGAGAGGCATATCTTACAAACTCCTGTTGGGATTTGGTTAGCATCTGATGAAATAATTTGTATATATTTATCTAAAATGTTTTATCAATATGAAACAATGCATTTGTAAGCTCTTTATTCACAGATGGTTCAAGTCCACAAAAACAGTAACACATATACTTAAGGTCATCACTCATTTGCGAAGTACTTAAGCATGAGCTTTCATGTGTTCCTGAATACACTGCTTTCTCTAAATGTTGACTGTTAACATTATCTGTTGTTCCAAGGGTTTCCAGTTATCAAAAGCCTGTATGTTTTGCAATAAATATTAATTTTCCTTCTATCTTTCCTTCTTGTTTTTTTCACAATTTTACACTAATTGAAGGGTTTGGTGGAGACTCATTTTGGGAAGGAACAGTGAACAAAGCTATACTAGGCACAATGTCATCTTACAACAGGACCACAGACTTTTACAGCTTGCATAAGACATACAGCATCCAAAATAAACACTTGGAAGTTTCTGGCCCGGGATAAAAATCTCCCTAGAACATTACCAGAAATGTCTGTGGCTAAACTGTATTTAACATAGAGTATTTGAACAGTAGGCTGTTCTAAACTTTTTTCATATTAGAAGTATAAACCTTAAAAATAAAAACAAAAACTTGAATCTCAGTGGAGAGAACTAGCTTAATACAGATTAATGATACTGAGCAGTAAGCAAAAGCTAGTTCATAGTAGCTGAGTTTGCCAATACATCATTCTCTTAAGTTCACTAGTTGTTCTCTTAAGCTCACTAGATTTACCTGTAGGTAAGGAGGAAAATATTGGAAGATTCAACTAGTCTTCATTTTTAACTCAGTTTTACCTTCAAGATATATGTGAAACAATGTTGTTATTCTGAAAACATGAATGAATCCAATTTTTACAAATGGAAAGTTTAGAAAGGTTTCTCTCTCTCTCTCATTCAAACATCAAGAAACTAATACCACTGCTATTCTGGATCTATAAATCGAATTTTGAAAATGAAAGAAAGAAAGGATTTTAAGGTTTCAAAAACACATAATTATTTATCTAAATCTGTTTCCTCAATCACCAAATGTTAGCTTCTGAAGAAGCTTTGGCTATCTTATCTACCGATAGGGAACTAGTACCAAACAAAAAGCAAACTGAACTTGAGCTAGGTAACAGCTTTAGACTTGATATTTTAACTCAAATATAGGCAGTAAAAACCAGTAAAAGTCACTAATAGGTCTGTTATAAGCAATCCCCCTACCCTTCACTCAGAATTAATCAAATTCAACCTTAAATCTGTGCTCAGTTTTGAGGAATAAAGTGGCTGTCCAAATAACTACCATGACAAAGAGGTCAGAGGTTAGAAACAAGAAAGTAATTATTGACAGGTTTTCCAAGACATTTTCAAAATATTAAGCACCACTATGGTGACATTCATCTCCTAGTAACTCAGGAAGAGGTATTCTAATTTTTGCAGTCAGAAATCCCAAATTACAGTGCTCCAAACCAGTAATATTGACAGATTATGGCAAGATTACTGCTATTGTCCTGAAGAGGCTGCCTCAAAGTGGTGGCTGTTTGTTTTAATAATTTGTCCTCTATGTGCATAGCAGTGCCAGAGGTTTGCAGTTAATCTCCTATTTTAATACTGCTAAATAGGAGCCACTTTTTACTGGAGGAAAGCAGAGCATTATTGAAGTTGCTCCACTACATGCCTTGCCACCTATCAAAAAAGTCACATAGCTTAAGAGGCAGGAGCCAACATGTCAACTTAACGCTGGAGAATGACTCAGCTATGCACTTAACCTGGCTTTAAGGCTGCCTCAAGCAACTAAAACTGTACAAAGCAACTGTTAACAGATGAAAGCATCTAGCTTAATTTGTTTATATTTACTATGTGTCCAGGACAATAGTTAAGAACATCATAAATCTTAATTTTAAATCTATGCACGTTTTTCAGATCAGATACAACAGATGGAAAATATACACTTTTAAGATCTATTACTGCATTTTTCCTGTGCTTGGGTTTGAATCATGAGGAAAAAGTCTTAGATAAGTCAGGACCTAATTAATTTATTGAAGACACAGAAAAGATAAAATGGTCTATGTTGTTCACGCATCAGACAGTGAAGGCAGGAATTTTCTTCAGTTCAGTTCTCCATCCACTTTCTAAAAATGAACATTCCAAAGGCATGAATAGGTTGCCCTTGCACCAAAGGAAGTGACTGACCTATCAGAAGCCTAAAATAAGAATAACGCTTCCAGATATATTTTTAGTTATAGAAGAAATAATTTAGG